AATTTAGTTAAATTTTTAGTAATGTTATGTAAACGAAGTGCAAATTGTGGTGAATTTAGTCAAATTTTTAGTAATGTTATGTAAACGTAATGCAAATTGTGGTGAATTTAAGTAAATTTTTAGTAATTTTATGCAAACGTAATGCAAATTGTGGTAAATTGTAATATATTTTTAGTAATGTTATGTAAATTGTTGAAAATTTAGGTGACTTTTTCGGCAATGTTATGCAAATGTAATGCAAATTGTGGTGAATTTTGCATTTTTTCGGTAAATTTTAGCTAAATTTTTGAATAATTTAGTGGAATTTAGGATAATTTCTGACAATTTAGTTAAAATTTTTTACCGATTTTGGACAATTGAGTGTAAACGGTATAAATGCAACATTTACGGAGACAATTTTGCAATAATTTTGGACAATTGAGTGAAATTTAGTAATAATTTTAAACAATTTAGTGTAAACACTGTGACAATTTAAAACACTGATTTAATAATTTTACATAATTTATAATTTATTATATTATTTATTAAAAAATACACAATTATTATTTAGCGATGAGAATCTATATTGGTCTATATTCATCAGATATCTGATGTTCCATCCATGGATAATCCGCACCTCTAATTTATTTATGTATCAAATGTCCAGTGCCGAAATAGAAGCCAGTGAAAACCTACAAAAAAAAAAGAAAAGAAACGTTAGAAACATTTCATTAAAAAAAATCAAAATAAAAAAACATTTCGAAGTATACCTTCGAAATGTTCATTTTGTTCCCGCTCCATTTCATTTTTCCCTTTCTCTTTCCCTTTTCATTTTCTCTTTCAAACCCTTTCATCTTCTCTTTCCCCTTTTGTCTTTACCTTTACCTTTCGTTTTCCTTTTCCCCTTTCATTTTCCCCGTTCCTTTTCATTTTTTCCATTCTTTTAACCTACAAAAAAAACAAAAAATAAATGAAACTTTAAATAACGTTTCATTACATAACAAAAATCCAATAATTTCGAAGTTCTAATACCTTCAAAATGTTGAAATGGTGCCCTGGAACCTAAAAAGTGAAAACTGAAATGTTAGTAAACGTTTCATTGTAATAAAAAAAAATAAAAAATGAAAGAATTTCAAAGGTTTTTATATTTACCTTCAAAATTCTTCTAGAAGGTGACCGGAAAATGAACTAAAAAAAAAAGATAAATGAAACGCTAGTAAACGTTTACTAACGTTTCTTTAAACAAAAAAAAAAAATAAAATTGATTTCGAAGGTAATACCTTCAAAATCTTGTCCTGGAGGCGAAGCCGTGATCTATAAAAAAAACTGAAACGTTAATTAACGTTTCGTAAAAAAAAGTTATTTAATAAATAAATACAAAAAAAAAATGAAAAACTTACCTTTCACCCAAAGTCTGGGTCGTAATTTTGTCCGGCGTTCCTAAAAAAAAAGAAACGTTAGCTAACGTTTCTTAAAAAAAAAATTTAATAAATTAAGTTTCGCAATGTAACATTGCAAAACTTACTGGTTCGTTTCCATTATTCTAATGTCCGGAACCTACAAAAAGTAAAAAAGAAACGTTAGTTAACGTTTCTTTTAATAAAAAAAAATAAAAAATTAAGTTTCGCAACACAATGTTGCGAAACTTACCGGTTCATTTTATTTCCATTATCCAAACGTCCGGTACCATCGCTTATTAAAAAGCTGCGTATAAATTTCCCTTTACTGAAACTATTCTCTTTAATCCATTCAGTTTTCCCTTGCCCTGATAAGTCAGAANACTTATTAAAAAGCTGCGTATAAATTTCCCTTTACTGAAACTATTCTCTTTAATCCATTCAGTTTTCCCTTGCCCTGATAAGTCAGAAGAAACACGTAAAACATTTCTTACATAATTCCTTATAAATTCCCCTCATAGCTTCAGTGTTTAACCTACAAAAAGTAAAAGAAACGTACGTTAGTATCATTTCTTTAAAAAAAAAATTAAAAAAATAAGTTTCGCAATGCAACATTGCAAAACTTACCGGGTCGTTTTTACCATTCTAACATCCGGAACCTACAAAAAGTAAAATAAAGAAACGTTAGTTAACGTTTCCTAAAATATTAAAAAAAATTGTTTAAAAGTTTTGAAGCATATGCTTCGAAACTTACCATTTCGAGTCCCAAACATCAGGAAGTCACAGGAAAAATGTTCATCATATGTACATCGGTCACTTGATGTACATCATAAAGAAATGCTGAACATCGGACCCTGCAATGTACTACTGATGTCACAACATTTGATGTGCATCAACAAATTTCAATGTCCATTAACGATGTACATTATTTTTTAATTGATTTATTTACGCAAAATTTATTATAATCTATTAATTTATTGCTTACAATATGATTAATTTTTTTTTTTCGTTACTTAGTAAACTAATATAAAACATTATATTTAAAAAATAAAGGTAAATAACAATAAAATCAAAGTGTAATCATGCCCAAAGTGTAAAGGTAAAAAAGATAATTACATCCAAAGGTAAAAACAACAAAATCAAAGGGTAATTACATCATCATCTAACGAAAGGTAAATAAATAACAAAATCGAAGGGTATTGTGTTCCAACCAAGATAAATCAAAGTCCAAATAAATGCAAAATCAAAGTTGAAATTAGTATCTACAAAAAAAATCCAAGTCAAATCAAATCGAAATACAAAAGAACCCTGAACGCAAAGTTGAATAATCTTGAAAAAAGAAAGTCCTTGTATTTCGTTTTCTTAGAAGTCCACTAGAATTACCATGCCACTGAGAGAAGAATATGCCTGAAGCTGAAAAAAAAGAAACAAGAAACATTAATTAAAAAAAAATTCAATTGTTTCGAAGCAAAATTTTGAAACTTACCCAAAAAGTTGACCTAAAAACTGAAGACGATTCCTACAAAATAAACGAAAAAAAGGAAATGGTTAGTTTCTTCAAAATTAAACAAAACTTTAAAAAAGTTTCGAAATAAACTTCGAAACTTACCCTCCAGAAAGTTCAGCCTGAATTTTTGAAAAACCTAGACCTAAAAAATAATCAAAAAAATTCACTTTTAAAAAAATAATGACGAAAACAACCTGAAATGACACCTATAAACTTACCAAAATTAAATTCAATTCTGGATCCTAATACACTGATATTTACAAAAAAGTAAGAAAATTAAAATTAAGAAAAAGATATTAAAATAAAAAATATAAGCTTCAAAGCATTTGCTTTGAAACTTACCAAATTCAACCTCGAATCCTAAGGCCAAAAGAACCAAATTTCTACAAAAAAAATAAAATTAAAAAAAAAATTTTTTTAAAAGAAAATTAATTACTTCATTTACCTCATTTAAATTCTCCAAATTTTTCGTTTTCATTAAGAGGTGATTTAATATTTTCTAGGATGATTGTATTTTTAATTTCTACAAAAAAAATTTAAAAATCAAAGGTTTGAAGTGAACCTTGCCGAATTACACTGCCAAAGGAGCTGGATTTCTAAAAAAAAAAAATAAAAAAGAAATTAGAAAAAATAAAAAGTTTAAAAAAAAAATAATTAAATAAAGTTATCTCGAAACTTCACCATCCAATTCCAACCTGGATCAACCGATACCTGTAAAAAAAAGAGTAAAAAATTAAAATAAGAAAACAAAAAGAAAAAAAATTTCAAAAAATCTTCACCCCCGAAACCTACCAGATCAAAGATTTACAACCGAACTAACTAATACCTACAAAAAAAAAAGAGAAAAAATTTAAAAAAAAACAAAAAAAAAATATTTAAAAATACATAATTTTCGCCTTAAAACTTACCAGATCCAAGACCCAAAGCCAAAACCAACCGATACCTATAAAAAAAAGATAAATCAAGTAAAGAAAGAAAAAAGAAACAATTTTTTTAAAAATAAAGTCTGTGAAGCTCAATCTACCATACCTGCAAAAAAAAGGCTACCCACACACAAAACAAACTCACACTCCCAACCCACATACCTAAAGGAAAACGTAAAGAAAGGAGCCTAAGAGACCTAATAAGGAGAAGACCGAAAAAAAAAAGTTTAATAAATTAAAAAGTTTCAAAAGTAAACTAAACTTTCGAAACTTACCAATCATATCGTTCAGAATTTGGAAAGTTCAATACCTGCAAAAAAAATCAAAAAAATCAAAAAAAAACAAAATAATAAAAAAATAAAAATAAATTTAAATTTTCAAAACTTACCCAAGATGCCGACCTACAAAAGAAGACCCTAACGTCGAGAAATCCAACTAAAGTCTGAGAAGTTAATGTCTGAAGTCCAAAGCCAAAGGACTGATATCTACAAAAAGAGAAAAATTTAAAAAACTTTTTTTTTTATTTTTATTTTTACTTCAGAAGGCAGATACAGTAGAAAGAATACGAAAACATTATAGAAAACTAAATATAAAGTATATAGATCTAAAATCTAACAGGCAGACCCACCCTTCGTTGGAACAACCTGGATAATGGAGAGCGCCATAGCAGTGAACGAACAAAAAAAAACTCTTTTTTTATTTATAGAAGAGGAGTGAACCTTAAAAAAAACTTTTTTTTTTATCGAATTAAAAAAAAAAAAGATCGATCGGCAAATTGATCACGTGATACTGATCAATATTTTGACTCTGAACGTTAATAATAGTTAAATATTGATGCTGTCAAAGAAAACAAAAACACATCAAACAAGTCGTCTTGGTACAGCTGATAGGGTATACCGGGTTGATTAAAAAATATAATCGTACTCTAGAAAAACCAGATTCTTCATTCTACAATACACAGACCTTACTACAAACAATATTCCTCATTACGTTTTGACGTTATACGTTCACCTCAACAAATAGAAAGATGGAATCGCTTGACACGAAGCATTATTAGTCAAGAACAACAATCCCGATTTATTAAACCTTTTATCATTAAACAACCATCGGCTAGGATACCAGATCCTATCATTTTAAACAAATTCAACATCTACCTGAGAAGATTAATTATCAGGCTCCCAGGTTTCAATTTACAAATACTTATGGGACGCTAATGCTAAATTCAAATAACTAATGAAAAATTGGATACGTAGAACTTGCAAACGCAAAACTTTTACCACCTTTACCTCCTGATTTCAAAGGTAACTGACGATTATATTATTAAATCACATACAATATCAACCTTTTTAACTATAAAGTTAGACGCTATTTTGACATCAGCTTCATACCTCAATATAACTATGGTTATACCTGTACTTTCAAACTCTATCAACATTACAAAGCGAAACACACTTTCATTGTGGAAGATGTTACATTGTTACCAAACAACTTAAAGCTGACATGCAATATGTAATCTCAAACAAGGATAAATGATCTTAATATATTCTTTCAGAGGACACCACCTTCTGATCACGAATCCAACACTACAGTTAGCAACACATCTTACGTTTCAGCTGCTGAATCCATAGCAACCATCATTTTCCCGCCTATACTGGGACATGACTTACTCTCAAATCAAATAAAAAACAACAACGGACCTTTATAGCCACAATATTTCACGATATTTTTATTCACTTTTTTTTTTCATTATATCTCTTTCTGGTGTTAGTTAGCCTGGTCATGCCTAGGGTTCTTTGTGAATAATTGCCAGGGCAACTCCTTTTCCAGTGCTTAGGAGGTTGGACGAATTTGCAATAGTTTAGTTTTGTATTATTTTTGTAATTTGTTCTGCTAACTGATGTATGCTTGTAGTCCCAGATTTTGTAAAAATAAAATAATAGTTAAATAGAAGAAAATGAATTAGTATTTAGTAATCATATTTTTATTGTAGCAAAGTGATGTACATTGAATATTTATTATTTTATGCTGCACATCACAATAAAAATCTCATTGATGATGTTCATTAACATTTAATATTACATGTATATTTAAAATAATGAAAATTATGATGTAAATGATTTGCAAAAATATACATGTAATGAACATTTTTCCCGTAACTTCTTGATGAAGAAGCATACCGAAAGACCTACACAAAAAAAATAAAGGATCGTTAAAAACATTCCTTATAACAAGCAAAAAAAAAAATTTATTTTAAAAGTTTCAAAGTGAAATGCTTCGAAACTTACCATCATTTCGTTTCCCGTTTTCCAAAGTCAAAACGCTGAAATTCTACAAAAAAAAAAGAAAGGAAACGTCAGTATGTTTCCTAAAAAGAATTTTAGAAAAAAAAGTTTCAAGGTGAACGTCTCGAAACTTACCATTTCATTTTTCTAAGTCAAGTACGCCAAAAAGACCTATAAAAAAAGAAATTATTGGAAACATTAGTAATGTTTCCTAAAAAAAGAAAAAATTTTTTTAAAAAAGTTTTGAGGCGAATACCTCAAAACTTACCGATTTCAATATTCCGAATTGAACGAAACAAGCCGAAAGACCTACAAAAAAAAGAAAATACAGGAAACGTTAGAAAAGTTTCCTAAAAAACAAAAAAAAGTTTTGAAAAACTTCGAAACTAACCGTTTACAAATTCCGAGGTCGAAAGTCCTAAAAAAGAAAGGAAATGTTAGAAACGTTTCCTTACAACAAAAAATCAAAAAAAAAATTTTAAAAAAGTTTCGAAGCATTTCGCTTCAAAACTTACCATTTCGTTTTTACTGAAAGACGATTCCGGGAAGGGAAAAAGGAAGGGGGAAGGGAGAAAAAGAGGGAAGGGAAAAGTGCGGAGAGAGAACGAAAAGAGAAGGGAGAAAAGGGAAAGGGGAGAACGAAAGAAGGAAAGAGGGGAAACGAAATGGAAAAGGGGAAAATGAAATGGGAAAAAGGAGAACGAAAGAGGGAAAGGAGGGAAACGAAATGGGAAAGGGGAGAAAAAGAAGTTGAAATTGAAAGATCGTGAGAAAAAATTAAGCTTTTTACTAAAAAAAGCTTAATTTTTTTTCGCTATACCGCAGCT